AAGAGGCCTCCTTTCCACTTCCAGCACTTCCCCCAATTAGCTGTAAGACAAGTCTCTCAAAAGTACTTCAGTCCTTCACCCTCTTATCTCTGAAATGAGAGGGTTGAGCTGGATAAATTGCAAGATTTCTTTTGTTCCTACTTTTTCCTGTTCTGGCCTAGGGTATTTTCAGGGACCAGAGGCCAGGTTTTTATGTGGAACTGGACTCTGTAGTTAGGACCCTTTCTTCTGTATGGCCTGGAGCCTAGGCCCTAACTTTGGAAACAAAACTAACATATGTTAAAAATTAAAGAAAACACTAAATTGTAGGCTATCTTAAGTACAGAAAGAATGAGGGGAAGCTAGAGTTGAATGTCAACCAGAAAAGTCGGTCAAAATTTGAGTTAATTATCATTTATTGGGCTAGATGGACGGCAGTGCTAGCTCAGGGGGGCAGTTCTCATGCCTTTACGTTTGCTTGTTTCTACAAAAATAACCTTCCAACAGTGAAGAATAAAACATTTTTCTGCCTTAAATTAAAGCAGTGTAGGAGAAAGGCCTACTTCTGTGGAAGTAAATGTTTGAAAGGAAGCTAAAATGCTTTAAACTGTTTTTTTCCCTATATTTAATTTTTCAAGGCTAATCTTGATGTTTGAGAGATTGATACCAAAAAGAAAATTACCATGACCAGATAGAGGCTGAATCAAAAGCTCTTGTGCATGATGCTACTTACACTAATAGTAGCATCATGAATTACCTAAAATAGAAATAAAATCCCTTAAATTATAAGTAATATTAAAAATGACATATCTGTCAATTCATTGGAAAAGAGATCAGATAATATATTTAAATTTTATAACAGAGGTGCATAGGAATTTCGGACTTAACCTCTTGATGTCAAAGGAGATGTATTTTGCCTTGTAATTAGGGTTTTACTAAATTATAGATGATCTCAAGGAGAGGTTGTCTGATCAGCACTCATGAAATAGAATAGTTACTCTCATTTGATGAATCAGATTCAGCACACACAGCTTAGTTCTAACTTTTCTCTGCATGTCTTAAGAGTACCCCCCCCATACCTTGATTATTTTTAAATTGCAGACTGCTGGTACTTTTTGATTCACAATCACATACCATTGGATTTACTATATTTGGTAAAAATTTTTTATAATCAACTATTGATTATCTATTATAACGAGGGTGTTCATAAATACAATAGAAATCATGTTTGTTTGTTTATTTATTTATTCAAGTCAAACTATTTTATTGCTTAAGAGACTCCTTCCATGGTCATAGGAGGATATTGGAAAATCATACCTTGTTTTAAACTATTTAAACTATTTAGTTCCTGAGCTTGGGTGCCTCAGCAGCTGGGTGTCTGCCTTTGGCTCGGGGCATGACCCTGGGGTCCCGGGATTGAGTACCACATCAGGCTCTCTGCATGGAGCCTGCTTCTCCCTCTGCCTGTGTCTCTGCCTCTGTCTCTGTGTCTCTCATGAATAAATAAATAAAATCTTAAAAAAAACCCTAATAACATAATATAGGGCATTTTATGGAAATATTATTTCAGTTGCAAGTGACAGGAAACCCAATCCAAATTGGGTGAAGCCAAGAAGGGGCTTTGGAGGCCAAGTAATTGAAAAATTTGAAGGTAGAGCTAGCTTCAGGTATGGTTGGTATGAATAGTGTAATCAAGATCTCGTCCTTCCGCATTTCATGGTCTTACTTTCCTCTGCATGGCTTCATTCTCAGGTTCCATTTAATTATATGATGGCTGCCCACACTGCCAAGACTTTATCTTCTTGGTTCAATTCCAGTAGAAAAGAGAGTATCTTCCCCCTCCCCTAACCAAAGTCCTTAACTGTGTTTCATTGGCCTTGAGTAGATTTTTTGCCCCTGCCCGAGTCTCTGAGGCTAGCAAGACTGATGTTCTTATTGGCCAGATCAGAGTCCTGTGATCGTTTTGAGTGTAGGGCAGCCATGTCCATACTTATAGGGAGAAGGGAATGATTCCTTATAAGAAAATTGGCTACTGTTCCAGAAGAAGGGGAAATAGATACCTGATGTAAAAAGTAACAATCACTACATATATCTTTGATTTAAGCCAATATTAAGTCATTTATGTTGTCCAAATGAAAATATTTCAGTGGTTGAGTGCCATCAGGGGCTGTGCTTGTGTTTGGATGATGCAGAGCTAGAATTTAAAACAATAATTCCATCTACAAAATGTGTAAGTTTAATGAAATAATAAAAGGAGATAGTATTGGGGTACCTGAGTGGCTCAATCAGTTGAGCGTGGGACTCTTGGTTTCTGCTTGGGTCCTGTTCTTAGTGTCAGACATTGAACCTCCTATGGGCTCTACACTGGCACAGAGTCTGCTTGAGATTCTTTCCCTCCCTCTCTGCCCCTCCCCCTGCTTATGAGTACATGTGCTTTCTAAAATAAATAAATAAAAATATATTTTTTTAAAGGTGATAGTTTTGGATACCTGATAGCTTACCTTACAGGGAGGAATGATACTTAAATGTTTAGCCATCCATGGCAGTGGAATCAACCAATCAGAGTAAGTTGGGTCCAGCCAATAGAACTGGTGCTGATCAGGACCAACCAGCAGGGTTCTTATATAGGAGGGCTGGTGGGATGTCCAGCTAACTGTGAGGCATTGTAAATATGCCACCAAGTTTATTGGAAAATATAGTTCCTGTATTACTTTCTTAGAGCTACCATAAGAAAGTACTATGAACTGAATGACTTAAATTTATTCTCTTCCTGTTCTGGAGGTTGGGAGTTGAAATTCAAGGTGTTTGCAGGACCATTTCCCCCCCTAAAGGCTCTAGAGAAGAACTTTTCCTTGCCCCTTCTAGCTTCTGGTGGTTGATGGCAATTGTTGGCATTTTTTGGCTTGTAGATATACCACTTCAGTCTGTGCCTCTGTCTTCCCATGGCCTTCTCCCCTGTGTATCTGTGTCTCTGTAGCCAGATTTTCCTCTTAAGAGGACACTAGTCATATTGGATGCAGAGTCTACCTTGTTCCAGTATGACCTCTCTTAACGTTAGTACATTTGCATAGACCCTGTTTCCCAAAAGGTCACATTCACAGGTTCTAGGTGGACAGGGATTATGAAGGGACATTATTTAACCTAGTACTGTTACTTAAAATCCAATGCTCTTACATAGTTGGCATGACACAATTTATTTATTTATTTATTTATTTTTTAATAAATTAAGTTTATTGGTGTTCAATTTACCAACATACAGAATAACACCCAGTGCTCATCCCGTCAAGTGTCCCCCTCAGTGCCCGTCACCCATTCACCCCCACCCCCCGCCCTCCTCCCCTTCCACCACCCCTAGTTCGTTTCCCAGAGTTAGGAGTCTTTATGTTCTGTGGGCATGACACAATTTTTAAAAAATATTTATTTGTTAATTTTAAAGAGGGGGGGAGGGGCAGAGGGAGAGAGAGAGTCTTAAGCAGACTCTGAGCTGAGCACAGAGACTGACATGGGCTCGATCTCACCACCCTGATATCATGACCTGAGCTGAAACCAAGAGTCAGACACTTTGACTATGCCACTCAGGTGCTCCAGCATGACACAAATTAAAAAAAAAAAAAAAATCAATGTTAAGTCATTTACAAACACTGTAATTTTTTTCTTTCCTTATTGTGTTGTTAAAAACTGAGTTTTTAAATCTTAGTAAAAATATTTAAGTGAATTATGAATTATTTTAGTTGGAATGCTATTCTGTATTTTTGTTACTGCATCAGATTAAGTAATCACATCTTCCTTAATTACAGCTAAATTCTGTTAAAATGTGAGTGTTAGTGTGACAATTGGTGGATAATTAATAATATTCATTGATAAGTGAGTACATGTATAAGGAGGTATTACATTTTTATACATGACTGTTGAATTCAACCAAGTTTTGCTTAAAAAAATGGAACTGATGATGATTAGATAAACATTATCCATTAGCATATTTAATTTTTTTAAATTTTTAAAAAGATTTTATTTATTTATTCATGACAGACACACACACACACAGAGAGACAGAGAGAGAGAGAGAGAGAGAGAGAGAGAGAAAGAGAGAGAGAGGCAGAGACACAGGCAGAGGGAGAAGCAGGCTCCATGCAGGGAACCCAAAGTGGGACTCGATGCCGGGACCCCAGGATCATGCCCTGGGCTGAAGGTGGCACTAAACCGCTGAGCCACCAGGGCTGCCCCCATTAGTGTATTTAAGAGCAAGTATAAGAAAGAGGTGAGAAGTACAACTGATAAAGGGCTTGGAAATTATATCTTCTATGGAACATTTGAAAATGGTGATAATTGTCTTCAAGTCTTTGAAGAATAACTTTATAGAGAAGAGTTTTGACTCTCGAGGGCAGAACTAAAACCAGTGAGTTAAAGTTAAAGAGAAACATTTCAGTACATTATAAGATAATATTTTCTCTATGTACCATGCACCAAAACAGAGGTGGTGGTCATAAAAGGGAGTAAAGGAAAGGTTCCTGGACGTGCTTAGGCAGGTGCTGCATAATTACCTCCCTGTGATGTTGTAATGGAGATCTTGCCTTGAACAAGAAATTAAAGTGGAAGGTCCTTTCTAGCTTCAAGATCTGTTGCAAATCCTCTTTAAGTTTCTTTCTATATAGGCAATGAAATAAATAATAATAAGTCACAAAATATTTTTATAAGTTTAAATGCTTTTTAGCAGCTACCAACTGCTAAAGTTTTGAACTATGACTTCTATGCTATGGACTGCTTAGAAGAAAAAGGAGGGGGGATATCTAAGAGAAGAGGAAATATTAGTACGTGATAAAGGGAGGGGATTAAAATTTACATCCAATGAGAGCTTACTCTGTTTAGAGTTTATTGAATGGATTTATATATCCATATTATCTCATATCATTTAATATACTTTTCTTTACTCAGCTTTAAATTTATGAGAAACTGTAGTTCTTAAAATGATGTTTTCTTAAGATAATTGGCATTTTCTTTTGTATTCTTTGTGTGGAACACAGGACTGTTCTGAAGGCTACATGTGCAAAACACATTTTCAAATTAAACCTGGGATGCCTATGTCACCTCCAGGAACATCTGCCCATGTACAGACATGTCTTCCCATGGAGGTAAGTGGTTTACTATATCATATTCTCCTTTTCAGTCTTTGTGAAGTATAAATTAAACAGTTTTAATCTGTTAAATATGTATTTGGAAAACATAACTGGCATTGGATCCTGGGCCTGCTGTAGGGAGAGAATTGAACATCATGGGTTAGAAGGTATTTTCTTGTATAATATTGAAAGCAGAAATTGTGGTAAAGTTAAGATCCACTTTGAGTCTATGCAGACTGTGGATTAGAAGACCACAGATACCTTCTATTGCCTGTTGATTTTTCCCCAGTGAGATCCTCCCAGGACAATACAGATCTGTCCCTCAGCTGATTAATACATGGCAGGAGACCTCTTTGCCTAGTCTGTCCTTAACTGTTTTCTCCTATGTCCTTTAAAATATGCTGGATCTAGGTCTCATTCCTTAGGGGACTTTAACCTTGACTTGAAAATCTTGCTATATTAAATTTTAATAAGGTGCTAATGGCTTTGTGGTTTTCTGGGATACTTTCAATTTTATTTTTATCAAAATGCAAATAGCTGTCTTATATTGCTATTGTTAATAAGAATTTTTATATATCATGGCAAAAATAAACAATAAAGAAATACATAGAGTAAAAAAACCTCCCATATGTCCTTTAAGTGGAGGCAGCCACTATTAATATTTTAGTAAATATACTTCTCCACATTTTCTTTTTTAAAAAAATATTTATTTATGTATTTATTTATTTATTTGAGGGACAGAGAGAGTGGAAGAGAGCACAAGCCAGGGAGGGAGAGAAGCAGGTTCCCCACCAAGCAGGGAGCCCTACTCTGGGTCATGACTTGAGCGAAGGCAGCTGCCTAACTGACTGAGCCATCCGGGTGCCCCAACACACATTTTCTATCATACACACACTCACATATTTTTTGTTTGTCCAATGAACAAGTCATGTATCATGGAGATCTTTCCATGTCAGTAAATGTAGTATTCCATAGTTCTTTTTAATTGGCTTCATTGTGTTTCATTCTGTGGCTATACCACAATTTTGTAGAGCCCATTCTGAAGTAAAATACTTCAGTAAGTAAAATGGGAGAGGACACTTTTCTTGTCAAGGAAGAGCCCCTTTCCAGGACCTGTTAAAGTAGACCCATTTGGCAATCTAGCCCTAACCCTCCCTCTTCCCTGCCCATGTATGATACTGGCCTAGAAGTGACTCTTGCCAATGTGATTCAGTTTTTGCAAGTTATTCTTGAGGATATTATGTTTGGTAATAAGCTAAGTGCCCCTGGGTGGGCACTCAAATCCTGATTACTGCTTCTTAGTTCAAATAACCAACATCAAATCTGAGGCTGAGCATGTTAGGAAGCTTTTAAATCCATTACATATTGACTTAAAAATGCACATGGAAATGGTGATTTAAAAGATGAATTACCAGTTTATGCCTAAAACGTTGGCAGAGATTTGAAAAGCACTAAAAAGTGGTGTTGACAGTGTGAGGGAACTGACACTTTCTGGTTGATGTTTTAACTTCACAGAGTATAAAGATGGGCACATACTATGAACAATTTATTCCAATTCTAGGAATTAACCTCATCAAATACAAATCTTTTCAACATTTTTCATTTTAAACATTTTCTAAAAAATTTCAAATATGGCCCCACATCAGGCTCCCTACTCCATGGGAAGCCTGCTTCTCCCTCTCCCTGCTACTCCCCCCTTCTTGTGTTCTCTGTCAAATAAATAAATGAAATCTTAAAATTTTTTTTTCAAACATGAAAAAGTTGCAAAAGTTTTGCAGTCAATGTCCATATCCTCCTAGATTCTTTCATTAACACTTGCTGTGTTTGCTTTATTCTATGTCCCTCTATTCATCTATTTTTACATCTTAGTTTTTATTTTATTTTAAAGATTTTATTTATTTATTCATGAGAGAGAGAGAGAGAGAGAGAGACACAGGCAGAGGGAGAAGCAGGCTCCATGCAGGGAGCCCAAAGTGGGACTCGATCCCCGGTCTCCAGGATCACGCCCTGGGCTGAAGGTGGCGCTAAACCGCTGAGCCACCCGGGCTGCCCTACATCTTCTTTTTTAATTCTTTTACCTCAAAGTAGATTGCAGACAAATACTCATAGATTAATTAGAAATGCATACAGAGATTTACCTGTAAGTACATTCATTTTAATATTATATATACTAGGAAGAAATGGGAACTGCTGAGATGTATAATAATGGATTGGTTAATTATGGCACATTTTTATGATGGCATTTTTGATTCAGTATGCTTGGAATATGGCATGAGAGTTTGCAGTTCTAACAAGTTCCCAAATGATGCTGCTGCTGCTGGCCCAGGGATCCCATTTTGAGAGCCACTGCATTGCTCTATGATTAGAATGCTTAGCATATTTGAGATGCTGCACAGCTGAGATGGTTAGTTAATATAATGTATGACAGAGTCGATATTGCAGTAATCTTGGTGGGATGAGAAATGTCTCAGGTTGGGTTTACCAGAAGCAGAGCCTATGATGGAGGTGTCTGTTCAAGTGTATTGTTAGGGATGAGCTTGTAGAAGAAAGAGAGTGACAGAAGCAGGATAGGACAAGAGATAAAAGCTAAAGAAGAATGTGGTCTCCGTTAGAAACCAGAGCACTGGGTGTTATTCTGTATGTTGGTAAATTGAACACCAATAAAAATTAATTTATAAAAAAAAAAAAAGAAAAAAAAAGAAACCAGCTTGGGTCTGATCCCATGGGAAGGTCTGGAGCACAAATGACACCCAGAATTAGTTCCACTTTGTGTCATTGGGATCGGTCTTTTGTACTCTGTGACAATTATTGACTTGTCCGTCAGCCATTGGATGAAGTGGAGTTGAACATAACTTCCCAAGCAGGGTGGCTCCAGAGTTACTAAGTGACTCTGCTGTGTATTATCAGCTAATGATCAAAACAGCTAAGTGGGATGGGTGCACTGGGCTTAAGGAGAGCTGGAATGGGTATCAGCAGTGTCTACTGCCAAAGAGTAATGTGAGACCAACAAAAAGGGATCTACAGGAAAGTATATATTTAAGTTCTATATTTAGATCAAAGGAGGGAGACAATACTGTTTTGGAAAATCTTTATTTTTCATAGATGTATACCATTATGTTAACACGTATTTTAAATGAATTAATAAATATATTTTTAACAATTTTAGTTTTAATTGCTAATACAGTGAATGTCAATAGCTATAACTCTCTAAAACAAGCTTGTTGGGAAAATGGGTTGAGAGTAAAATGTTTGAGAACCATTGATCTAGATAAAGAATACATTATTATTATCATATGTGAAGAACACTAATAACTAGAAAATATAATAAATACACAAGTAAGAGTTGAAAATAATGAGTTTCTGAAGATAGAACTAGTTCCTGTTTGAAAATTTTTCTAGGTAGTTCTCTCTAATGTTTAGCATTGCCTAGAGTGAAATTGGTCAGTTTGCAAAATTGTATACTCCCTCCCCTTTCGTGATGATATTCAGCAACAGAGTGGATAACCCTCTTTCTGGAGCATTGAGTGGTCATTGCCTGAAATGCCTGGATGCTTAAAACACAAGGCAGATGATGAGTGAGTCAAGTGGGCCGATGGGAAGTACACTGGAGAAGTAGAGATGGCATGACTCATCCGATAGGGGCAGTAGATATGCATCTCCAGGTGGATTTTATTTTTTTATTTTTATTATTTTTTTAAGGTTTCATTTATTTATTCATGAGAGATACAGAGAGAGAGAGAGAGGCAGAGACACAGACATAGGGAGAAGCAGGCTCCATGCAGGGAGCCCGACACGGGACTCGATTCCATGACCCCAGGATCATGCCCTGAGCCAAAGGCAGATGCTCAACTGCTGAGCTACCCAGGCGTCCCTCCAGGTGGATTTGAAAGATGAGGTACAGATCTAGATTTTTGTGTGTTGGCTTAATTATAACAAAACAAAGCAAAAATTGTGGAGGTCACATAGACTATCCTTACACTCTGCAGATAGTCCTCAGGCCACCGCTGTGGTAACCTAGCCTCTATTATTATAGAAAGGAGTTCTGCATTGTATAAAAGACTAAGCTAGGGGACCTCTGCATTCTCTTTAGAATTTAAAGCCCAGGGTACCTGGGTGACTCAGTTGGTTGAGTGTCTGCTATCAGTTTGGGTCCTGGAATTGAGACCTGTATTGGGTTCCCTGCTCAGCGGGCAGCCTGCTTCTCCCTCTCCCTCTACTGCTCTCCCTGCTTATGCTCTCTTGTTTTCTATCAAATAAATAAATAAATAAAATCCTAAAAAAAAAAAAAAGAATTTAAAGCCCCAAAGTTCCATATCTTTACAATTCCAATTTAAAGATATTCAGAGGAATGCCTCTGTGAATAGTTGTTTCATTTTTGTTTTTTTAAATTTTGGCCATGTATGATGTGGGAAATCAACTCACTTCCTTGTTCTAACCAGAACCAGCTTTCTTGATTGTAGAAAAGTGGCTGGATTCATAATTTTTATGAATATAAGATTATCTACAATGGTATGTAGACGATCACAGGATTTTTAGAATCAAAGCAAAATATAATGGAATATATAAATGAAGTAATTTGTGAGAATCATACTCTATACCATCTTTGAATTTTTAACATATAATTCAAAATGATAGTTAAAAGAATGAGATGATATTCAGAAATCTAGTAAATATATTGGGGTGTTGTTTAGTACTAGTTTAGAGGAATAGGAATTCTTCTAGTCTAATCATAGTAGATAAGAAATTTATTGTTCAGAGTAGTTAATATGATTTGCTTGTGACATTTCTGAGTTTGTGAAATAACAACCAAGACTAGCAATTTTTGAACAAGATATTTTCTTTAGCAGTGACCGAAAGAAATCCATTGCCTTAATTTAAAATCTTTGATATAAATGAATATTTTCACCAGGACCCAACATAACCAGCTCTGGTCTTTGAAATATCTTATGTAACATTTACTTCCATAAATAGATATTGGTGTTAATACTTCACTTTATCACCTTATGATTTTTGGG